CTTCAAGCCATTCAAGCCGTTTTAAAACTTAATACATATCTTGTCATATTCTGCCTTACTTAATAATAATAATAATAATTCTGGAAAGAAGGGTTGAATCGATTGCACTGAACTAGAGAATTAGGGAGGTACAATAGCCAGAAGGCAGCCGTGCCTGAGGAGAACAACACACTTTTTGTCCTTCTATATTGTCATGTTATATACACACACCCTTCCTAGTATCCATTATCATCATATTCCCCCAGAGCAAATTATCGTTGTTTGCTGTACACATTTTTTTGTGTCACGGGTTGAGCGAAACAGTTACAAGAGAGTCGGCCTTTTTCCTAAGAGAAGGAGAAAATCATAAGAAAATGTTCGACACCATCCCCGGCTTGGCCCGTTTTCTAATTAATATTTATGGGCAGAGGGCCGGGGCCGCTGTTCGCGGGATAGTCGTGTCAAAATTGGGATCTAATCGGAGAAGAAATCGAGAACGGTGCCTTGTCTCGGCATTGATGCCCCGGTGTAAATCAGTATAAACAATTGTAGCATGAGCATAAAAAGGTCATAAAGCCAGGGGGCGGGTTTACGGCCCCCGCAGAGCGCCGTTTAGTGCCCGGTTACTGTCGCCCCCGACTAAACCGTAATTAGTCCAAACATTCACACATCATTTAATTACCGCTTTAAACCTCGCGGGTTATGAAAGGAAAAAAAAACATCGGAGGAAAAAATAGCCTATAACTCGTTTTGACAGATTTAATTGAAGGTTTGGGGCTTAAGTAAAAGAGTGCACACTGGATATTAAATTATAGGGCTTAGAGGTGCACCATCCCCGCCTATGTAATAGAGTAATAGGTCAGCTACGAAATTACAGTTGTTAGCCAGTAACCACAGTTCACAGGCAGTCGTTAGGCAATTCAACCAACCGCTTCTTACCCCTTGTCATACTAGCTCTAAGTACAATTCTCATGTCACATCCACATCTCTCTCAATGACTACCTAATTGCATAATTTTACCTCTATTTTTTTTGTATTCGCCTGCCTATTCGATGAAATTAATCATTGTGTCCACGAGCCTGTGACCGGAAAATTATCTCTATCGCCCTTTAACTTCACCCGTCCTCACGCTCCAATACCCGCGATAAACGTAACAACATTTTATTGTTTATTCGCTCGAATGCAAATACTTGCAGTCTGCTTTTTTTCCACGTTTTACATGAAAATTATTTCAGAAGAAATGGCCGTTGTTTTGACGTTTTAACGCTAATCTAATCTAAAGACGTGAAAGGTGATAAGTGGACTTCAATTTTTCTAATCGGCCTGTAGAACTTCAAGGCAAACTCAACTGTCCATGTTTTACACATTATGGAATTGTTTTAAATATTTTTACTTGCTAAAAGGTATTCGCAAGTTCGTACTTTAATGAAAACAAAAATTAACCAACTATGTACAAATCTCGTGCAAACTCAGGAGGACAGAAGGACAGGAGGACGAGTTGTCAGAAAAGAAAACGATAGGACAAGTCAACACGACTATTAGTGGACTGAACAACCAGATGACAGTAGCACAAGATTATTTCTTCTTGTTCTTCTCCTAGCTCTAAGTACGATTATCAAAGGCAAGAGCAGGAGGACAATTAGTCCAGAGGAAAGATGATGGAAAGAAAAGGCGACGCAAGGGTCATAGGACAATGCAGTAATATTACCATATTATAGAAGATGTCCAATGGAAAGAAACTGGATGAGAAGTCGACAAGATCATCAGAGGACTGAACAACCAAATGACAGGAGCACAAGATTATTTCTTCTTGTACTTCTCCTAGCTCTAAGTACGATTATCAAAGACAAGAGCAGGAGGTCAATTAGACCAGAGGACAAAGACTAGAGGAAAGATGATGGAAGGAAAACAAGGTCACAGGACAATGCAATAATATTGTCGTATTATATAAAACATCCAATTGAACGAAACTAGAGGAGAAGTCGAAAAGATCATCAGGGGAGTGAACAACCAGATGACAGGAGCACAAGATTATTTCTTCTTGTTCTTCTCTTAGCTCTAAGTACGATTATCAAAGACAAGAGCAGGAGGACAATTAGTCCAGAGGAAAAAGACTAGAGGAAAGATGATGGAAGGAAAAGGCAACGGAAGGGTCACAGGACAATGCAATAATATTACCATATTATACAAGATATCCAATGGAAAGAAACTGGAGAAGTCGAAAAGATCATCAGAGGAGTGAAACAACCAGGAGGAGAAGATTCTTAGTTGCACTTTTACAAGCTCTAAGCACAATTGTCAACGAGGAATGTAGAACAATGCGACAGGATGGCCAAATGATCAAAGACGATACAAAGAGGACAAGTAGAGCAGATTTCCTAGAGCTGCACAACAAAGAAGACCAGATGGCAGGCCTATCAGATTCTAACTCTTACTAACTGAAGTACAATTTTACGACAGGGAGACAAGATGAGTATTACGCAAAAGGACATGACCTGAGGATGGAAGATGATGGGCGGAAAAGGCTAGTGCAGACAATATGATAGGATATGCCTCAAAAACGAGAATTGTGTAGAAGTTGGCATGTTTGTCGTAGAACTGCGTAACAAGATGACCAGATGACTTGTACTACCAGAGGATAAGAGGTTGAGAACGGAAGAAACCCGTTATAAAACAAAAAGAAACATAAAGAGCGAAAGGCTAAAAGGGACCAGAGGATCAGAGAGAACCAGACGACCGTAGATCAAAGACGTGAAAGACAAAAAGATAAGAAAAAGGCAACATATGGACCAGATGATAAACGATTCTTACTTCTTGTACTTTTACTAGCTCTAAATACAATTCTCAAGGAAAAGAGCGGGAGGGCAAGGTAAACGTCTTGTAGTTACTACAAGATGACGAGATGGCCAAGAAAGAGAGTAGGAGGACAAGGCAAAACAAGTTTCTTTCCATTAAACTTCTACTAGTTCTAAGTACAAATCTCAAACACAAGCGCAGGACAAGGTGACACGAAAGCCAGAAGATAACGGGACAAGAAGGCCAGATGTTGGAAAGAAAAGGAAACTAGAGAATCACGTAATAAGACGCACGGCTACAAAAGGACAGAAAGAAAGCACAACAAGATGTCCAGAGGATGGAACGGAATAACTAGAGGATCATGATGATAGGAGCAAAATTAAAGGATTACATGACAGGACAGGATTGTTACTCCTTGCACTTCAATCAGGTGTAAGTAAAATTCTCAAAAACGAGAGCAGGAGGACAGGCGACAGAAGTACCAGATAAAGAAGAAGAAACAGGGCAACAAGAGGACAGAAGGAAACATGGCAAAAGCACCACAGGGTAGGAAGAGGGCATGATGACTCAAGTACGAGAATAGAAGGAAAGGAGACGAGGACTTAGAACAACGAGACAAGAGGACCAGGTGTCAGAAAGTCAAAGAAAGAAGAGCTATAGGACGTGGAGATGAGAAGACCAAGCGATTAAAACAAAATAAGAAAAGAGTATCAAAGGACAAAGCCACTGGAAGCCTAGATCATTAAAGGACAAGAGGTGAGATCAAAATGTTAAGAGGATAAAAGGTTGAGAAATATGAAAACCGGGATATTCAAACAAAAAAGAAATAATTCACGAAACGTCAAAAAGTAAGAACAAGATTCTTGTTCAACAACAGTTTCAGGAGAACAAGACAGGATCAGAAGGGAAAACGACACGAAGACCAGGTAAAGAGACAGGGCGAAAGAGGACAAGAAAAGCGCGACAAACCACCAGAGAATAGTATGAGAGGAAAGAACAACGCAATAAGAGGATAATTAAAGTACAAAATGTCTCAAGAACTTCAACAGGAGTACAAGATATCCAGCAGAAAGGACAAAGTAATGAGGTCGAGAACATGACCAGGAGACAGAAAAACAACATATCAAAGCAAGAGAACTTAAGACTAAAAAACAATAGAATAATATAATAAAAAGAAAAGAAGAGATGACCTCGTGAAGGCAAAAAAGAAAACAAAATACAAGTGAAAAAATAAAGAGACATGTAAACAAAAATAAGGCAAAACAAAAGGACTACCTGAGGAAAAGATTAAATGAAAGGAAATTAACAGAAAAGCAAAAACACGAAACAAAGTTGGAGGAAATGAAAGGAGAAAAGGACAAGAGGGAGATATGTAGGCAGGACATGAGTAGAATGGATTTGCAAATGAGAGATAAGGATCACAGCATACGATAAAATATCTCATTTTCCAATAATTTTGCCTTAGAAAATGATCGAATCATGTTTAATTTTTCAACGCGATTGAAGAAAACTGCAAAACCATTGGATTTGATTGCATCATGGGCGATTTAGAAAGGGGATGTATTATATTAGATGCACAGCAAACCTGTGAAAATCAGCTCCTTTGTTATGCAGATTTTGTTATTTCTGAAGGTATTTCAGGCCCGTATAAGGGTGATTCATTTTCCCTTTCAACTGTTATCACTTTAACTTTTCGATTTGACATTCTACAGATTTCCGAGTGGATATATTCAGAGAGTGAATTATTCCTAGATGTATAAAATATTTTTATGTTTTTTTTACAACCTGGGACCCCGGACGGAATTACAGTTGTTGTACATTAGTACGATGTTACGAGGGGGTGAGAATGCGAGGGTGCACCCTCCATGACATCGCCTAGCACTTCGGCAGAATGTTGCCGTGGCCGGGCACCCCCGAACTCCCGTGGGAGGACTCGTTCCCCTTGACATCCCGTCTACGTCCGGGAGGGTTGCTTTCACCCTTTCTTATTCTACCTACCAATATTATTCTTTACTCTGCGTTATTCATTTAGACGAGCCGTGTTTTTCTAGTCTGCGGTTGGATAATGGAAGACCTGAATGATAATCACAGTTTGGCGGACTATAACCGATTTAATCAATCGTCAACTGGGGGAACCCTTTCGGTACGATCATGTATGCTGTTACAAACTTAAATGCTATCGAATATAAAATTTATGATTCCAGAATGTTTCATAATTGCCTCACCTGTTCATATTTTTCTAATTCTTGGTGGTAGATTTGCCTGATTTGGGCGAGTTTGGCCCGGTAGTCGGAGTGTTCTATCGCGTTGTCCTGTACCTGGCCGGATGCTGCTGCTGCGCTAGCCGCTGCAGCCGCACTCACGCCGCCGCCCTTTTCCGGCCCCGCCACCCCTTCAGCTATTAACATATTGTCTAGCCTCATCAACTGGGGATCCGGAGGCTCTTCTTCTTGTGTGTTCCTTAGACTAAGTACTGAAACAGAAAGAAAAAAAAACTATGTTAGCGATTTATAAAACAATACAATCTTAGAATCCTTAGTATACAAAGCTGAAGGTCATAAAACGTCATCATAAACGATAATGCTTAAAATAGAACAATTACGCCGAAAAACGCAGCGATACACCGTTCTGTTAAAATAGAAATTTCAAGGCTCGATTTTTTGACTTTTTCGTGAAGATAAAAGCCAATCAACATGAACTAAAAGAAATAGTTTAATAGTTACTTTTACAAAATTTTAATATTTAATAAGAAAACGATTTCCATTTAAAACGCAGCGATACACTGTTCTGTTAAAAAAGCAATTTCAAGGCTCGATTTTTTGACTTTTTCGTGAAGATAAAAGCCAATCAACATGAACTAAAAGAAATAGTTTAATAGTTACTTTTACAAAATTTTAATATTTAATAAGAAAACTATTTCCATTTAAAACGCAGCGATACACTGTTCTGGAAAAAAAAGCAAATTCAAGGCTCGATTTGAGGCTTGCACTCTCTTCCTAATGGTAAATACTGATAAAAACTTTTCTCAAATATGTTTCAAAATCAACAAGAGCACGTAAGAAAGTAGTGTAAAACGCAGCGATACACTGTTTTGGTCAAAATTACCTCTAGGGCTCTAATTCCGCGCAAAATTATATCTTTAAAGATAAAAACCTATTTCAAACAAACTACAATGAGAGAGAAAAAAAGAACAATTTGTTTAAAAGCTGCTTTATCCAACAGGATTTTCTCAAATTTAGAACATTTGTGGTACCACGGACGGTAACAGCTTAAAACGCAGCGATACACTGCTTTGGTCAAAATTAACTCTAGGGCTCTAGTTCCGCGCAACATTATATTTTTAAAGATCAAAACCTATTTCAAATAAGATACAATGGCAGAAAAACATAGAACAATTTGTTTTAAAGCTGCTTTACCCAAAAGGAGTTTCTCAAATTTAGAACATTTGTGGTACCACGGACGGTAACTGCTTAAAACGCAGCGATACACTGCTTTGGTCAAAATTAACTCTAGGGATCTAATTACGCGCAACATTATATTGTTAAAGATAAAAACCTATTTCAAATAAGATACAATGGCAGAAAAAACAGAACAATTTGTTTAAATGCTGCTTTACCCAACAGGATTTTCTCAAATTTAGAACGTCTGTCTCACCACGGACGGAAGCTGCTTAAAACGCAGCAATACACTGTTCTAGTAAAAAGCAAATTCAAGGCTCGATTTGAGGCTTGCACTCTCTTCTTAATGGTAAATACTGATAAAAACTTTTCTCAAATATGTTTCAAAATCAACAAGAGCCCGTATGAAAGTGGTGTAAAACGCAGCGAAACACTGCTTTCGTCAACATCAACTCCAGGGCTATAATTCAGCGCAACGTTATATTTTTAAAATTAAAAACCTAATTCAAATAAGCTGCAAAGAGAGAAAAAACAGAACAATTTGTTTATAAGCTGCTTTACCCAAAAAGATTTTCTCAAATTAGGAAGGAACATCTGTGGCACCACGGACGGAAGCTGATCAAAACGCAGCGATACACTGCTTCGGTCAAAATTAACTCTAGGGCTCTTATTCCTCGCAACGTTACATTTTTAAAGATGAAAACCTATTTCAAATAAGCTACAATGACAGAAAAAACATAAAACAATTTGTTCTAAAGCTGCTTTACCCAGAAGGATTTTCACAAATTAGGAACATTTGTCGCACCAAGGACGGAAGTTGCTTAAAACGCAGCGATACACTGCTTTGAACAAAATAGGGCTCTATCTGAGACTTCGATTTTCTTGTTCATGATAAAACATTCTTCAACAAAGCTTCAAAATCAACAAGAACGCGGAAGTCTTTTAAAACGCAGTGACACACTATTTTAATGAAAAAAAACAACAACGCCCGGACGAAATTTCCGGACATGATGATCTTTTTAATGATGAAAACGCAGCGTCACTGACATAGGTAGTTCTTTAACCCCCAGGACGATTTTTGCGCCCAATTTTATTTTTAGTGAAGTAAACCACCCTGAAAGGTGCTTCTTTGATCATCAAGAAACCCGAGAACTTTTTAAAATGCCGTTTCGGTTCCGAATCATCGGCATCTTTCTTCTCTTCTTATAAACCGCCTGAATGATAGATTTGGCCAACTTCTCGCCCCCTGGTAACATCTGTCGCCAATTACTAAACTTGCCAGCAATCTCCAGGCTGCCGAAGCATCGTCGAAGACTGGGCGAGGAGAAGAGCCGTAGACAAATGGGCCACGTCGTCCGACCGGCCGAGCCAATTTGTTCACCGTTTAATTGGGACACGACAGGGGATTATTCCCGTCCAATCCAGGCCCCTTGTATATATAATTTCACTTATCTGACTTGGTAGGAAAACGACACCGGTTTAATTTTCCGGCTGATAAAAGGGAATTTTAAAGAGCCTTCTTCGACCAGTGAATCAACGTCCAAGGATCATTTTTTGAACTTTCAAACTGAAAAATAACAATTGGCAAAGACAGGCGACCTTTCAGCCAAGGCCTGTTTCGTTGGACACGTTTTTTTAGGGATAATCCGACAACACGCAGATTAAAACGTAAACTGGTCAATCTTTCATTTATTGTACAAAGCTGAATGTCATTTAAAGCCAACGTTTCTTATCATGAAGCACATTTTAAATTATTCATTCTGACATATTTCTTGATGCCGGATTACAAAAAGCTTAGAGCTTTAGCCAAAGAAAAACAGCTTTGATACAACTAAACACTTTTTATCGGGATTTAATTAGTACACCATCATTCTTGAAACAACTGTACTTTTTGAATGTAATATACAGGTCATCTATACCAAAAAAAGGGCAAATATTTTTTCACCTTCCAATGGAACTACAGCAGTAAATATTCACAAATATTGCCTATTTTTTAGGGAGATTTTTAAACTTTAAGGAACATAGAAAAATAAATATTCACTTTTAATCAGGATTTCCAGCTCCTTGAAAATATTTTCAATAACTTTCTATTCTATCAGGATGTCATGATAAGGAGTTATTTTTTGTTTTTAAGGAGCTCAGAAGAATAATTATTCACATTTTAACAGGATTTCCAGTTCCTTGAAGATTTTTTCAATAACTTTCTATTCTATCAGGATGTCATGATAAGGAGTTATTTCTCGTTTTTAAGGAGCTCAGAAGAATAATTATTCACATTTTAACAGAATTTCCAGCTCCTTGAAGATATACTCAATAACTTTCTATTTTATCAGGATGTCATGATAAGGAGTTATATCTCGTTTTTAAGGAGCTCAGAAGAATAAATATTCACATTTTAACAGGATTTCCAGCTCCTTGAAGATATTCTCATTAACTTTCTACTCTATCAGGATATCATGATAAGGAATTATTTTTCGTTTTTAGGGAGCTCAGAAGAATAAATATTCACATTTTAACAAGATTTCCATCTCCTTGAAGATATTCTCAATAACTTTCTATTCAATCAGGATGTCATGATAAGGAGTTATTTTTTGTTTTTAAGGAGCTCAGAAGAATAAATATTCACATTTTAACAAGATTTCCATCTCCTTGAAGATATTCTCAATAACTTTCTATTCAATCAGGATGTCATGATAAGGAGTTATTTTTTGTTTTTAAGGAGCTCAGAAGAATAATTATTCACATTTTAACAGGATTTCCAGCTCCTTGAAGATTTTCTCAATAACTTTCTATTCTATCAGGACGTCAGGATAAGGAGTTATTTTTTGTTTTTAAGGAGCTCAAAAGAATAATTATTCACATTTTAACAGGATTTCCAGTTCCTTGAAGATTTTTTTAATAACTTTCTATTCTATCAGGACGTCAGGATAAGGAGTTATTTCTCGTTTTTAAGGAGCTCAGAAGTTTCAAGTTTTAACAGCATTTTCAAGCTCCTGTACATATTTTCGATTATTTCCAATTCTACAAGGATACAATCTTATAGAAGTGCCAAGATAGGTGGCAAAGCAAAAATCAATTCCAGCTGATCGATTAACGTTATTTTTGTTGTAAAACCAGCCGGTAGTTAGTTATCATTCAGGTGTCGTGCTTAAACGTGAGATCAAGTAGGACTTGCAAAGTCCCCGGGCGCGAGTCCTCCGCTTATCGCGGAAAAGTTCCTATTTATCCCCCCGTCCCTTCAGGAATCGCACGGTTCCCCGGCCAATAAATCTTTGTAATGTGTATATAGGCCACCGGGTTGTTTACTGTATATCAACCTCTGGGTACACTTGTTGATCTGGTTTATCGCCCTGTCAAATTCATCCAGATAAACGGATACACTAATTTCCCGTTGTGCGTTTTTCGACGACGGTGAGACGAAAACCCTTTCAAAACCGGCACGAGTGGAAAATCCAATCGGGGAAAATTTTCCTTCTCGGAGGATTTAAATTCGACGCAAAAGACGTCCCGTTACATAAATAAACCGCGAAATGCATGTTGTGTAACTAAGATGATTTTTGGGCAAATTACATAAACAGTTATATTTTTAAGAAATATATATAATGACGTCGTCCGGTTATGTAACCGCCCTGGAAATGTTTCCACAAAGGAGGAAGACTCCGTCCGAAACGCTTGGACCTCCGGGCTAGTCGACAAAACAAGAATTTTTCCATTAAGCCAGATAAAAGGTGAAGAGGAAAATTTACGCTTTCATTCCATTGTCCCTTTCAAAAGACATGGATTTTCAATTTGCTCCTCCACCTACGACATTTTTTTCTAATTTAATATAAATGAAATTCAATAGAACGAACGGACAATTTACCAAATCGGGGTGCTCATTTCCAACAATATACCGTACAATTGCTATAACTGGCCATGTATAACTCCCTCAGGTATAAGTTATTGGGTTGTCCGGAAAATAATGCAGGATTTTGGTATTAAACAAAAAAAAAGAAACTAGTTACTTTAAAGCAATGTTCTTTAATCAAAATAATTTCCCATACTCTCAATACATTTCTCCCAACGTGTTGGTAAC